GCTCAGATGATCATTGATTGAAATTACACACATGACTGAGGAAGAGGTTTTTTTTCTACCATTGTCTCACGTAGCTGAGACCCCCCCAGTGAGCGCGCCCAGCCTGCTGCTGCCCTCTGGTGTCCAGACGGTGAAGGTGTTGCTGAAAGGAGAGACCCTGGAGCTTGAGTGTATACCAGGAGGATTGTGAGTGTACAGTATTTTCCCACATTTTCATGTTCTCACTGCATCCGGTTTGCTGTCTCATTCTTATTCTTTACATGTCATTATTTTTTTTATCATAGCCCCACTCCCAGAATAACATGGATGAAAATGGGAGAAAGTCTGACTGGTCGAATAGCACTGAGTAACTTCAATAAGGTGCTGACCATTAATGCGGTAGACGAGAAGGATGAGGGGAAATACATGTGCACAGCAGGAAACTCTGCTGGAAGAGCTGTCCACTACTTTGATGTAGTCGTGAGAGGTTAGTCAAGGTCTTGTTTGAACTATTATTTTATTTAAATGAGAAAGAAGTTTTTTTGGATGAGACCAGCATGACTCTTCTTGACATTACCCAGAGCCACCAGCATGGCTGACGGAGCCTCCGGAGAGCCAACTGTCAACCATCGGGTCAAATGTTTCTATCAAGTGCTCTGTCAGTGGAAAACCACCTCCAGAAATACTGTGGATGAAGAATGGAGAAAAATTAAAAGGTGAGAAAGAATGATTTTGACAATGGTTGTACTCATCTTTTGCCATTTGGCAGGCAGCTCTGCTGACCCTTCAGCCTGAGAACCTGGAGTTCAGTTTTCTAATCACTAACTGAAATACACACTGAAACCTTTTGATTCAAAGTTGACTTTTCATATGACCACAGAATGTGTCAAATTTTGTTTGATTATTTCCTTTGAATTTCATGCCTATCTCTGGAATTCACTTGTTCCACAGCTCAAAGTCTGGACCTTGCAATGTCCTTCTGACAGTATTTGTTTTTGTATAATATGTCTAGATTTCTCGATCATTTCAAAACCCGCACTTATTTTCCTTGCAGTCTCAGCCTGCTACTTGTGGCAAGCGGCCACATCAGAGAGGGAGGAAAAAGAGAATGTTTATTTTTGTCATTTTGGAAAAGAACATAATTTTAATTGTAGTCATGCAAGGTCCCCAATTCCAGAGCATGATGACTGTGTATAGTGACAATAAGGGAACTTATATCTTTCTCTTTACTTTTTGAATGTGTTTTGTTAGATGACCTTCTGAACAACAGGCGGGTGCTTGATGACACCATGGAGATTCAAAAAGCCAGACCAGAGGACAGCGGAGTCTATCAGTGTGAAGCCTTTAACGAGCATGGCCGCATTCTGGCCAACACGAACATCATGGTTATGAGTGAGTACGATTACAAGCCAGCTAAATCACTAATTACGGCAGGAAAGCAGTGGTTCTTCAATCCTTTATCCACAGGTCAGGGAAGAGTCTGAGATGGAGAATACTACATCACTCTGTTCATCTCTTCTGTTGTCTGGAGTACAGTACAAGAACTTCCAAATGTCGTGTTAAATAGAATAGATGCTGACTGATTTGCAAACAGTTTTTATGAAATAATAACAAAGCCAATAGATTAAATCTCTTTTTGAATATATGATGAATTTCTTAAAACTGAACAAAATGGGATTTAAATTACAGCTGTTTCCTAAATTTCAATTAGCTTATAAACTGACTCTGAAAAAAGAAATGATTCCATTAGATTACATTGGCCACACTTAAATAATATGACAAAATACTGTTCTTCATAAACTTTAAGCCAGGGATTTTCTTTTGGTTTTTTTTTTTTAGACACGGCCCCCCGCATACTATCAAAGGACCTCCAAGAGTACGGTGTGATACTGGGACAAGACATCATTGTGAACTGCAGTGTTTTCAGCTCTCCACCAGCCCACATCTCCTGGTTAGTAGGGGGCAGTTTCGTTACTTCAAACAGTAGCTATGTTTGTTATTGCTTTCACATAAGAATAAAAAATGGTTTTATCACTTGAAACATTTGAAATAGAATAAACCAAAATGGACGCAGTGTTCAAGCTTGAATTCTGCTTTTAATCCCTCGCTGTGTCCGGTGTGTATGTTACGCTGATGTTTGGCTCTTATGTCTGCCTAACAAAATAATCCTCCTCCTGTCCTTGAAATGGAGCTGATTAAATCTTATTATCTGGCGCTACAGCTCAGGTAACCCTCTAGAAGTGAGCAATTGGATCTCAAAACTGTTTCAGTGTTACAGAAACACTCAGAGTATCAAGTCAGATTCTATTAAATCATGTTTCACTTAAATGTGATCAGCAGCTGTAACCACTTTCTGCTACACTTTAACTTCCAGCTGCCGTGCTGACTCGGCTTTCAAAAAAGCACAGTCTGAATCAGTAAAAACTGATGTTGACAAAAAGAGAAAACACAAAAAAATGCTCTGAAATTATTCTGGAAATTAACTTAATTTGGATATCTATTAGAAATGCTTTAACTCATAAGGTCATTTGGCAATTTGGAAATAGTCTCAAAATGGTAACTTGTGTTTTGTCCACTACTTTATGAATACTGAAATCTTGTACACACATTTTAAGAGTTTGACAAACTTTCTCTCTTAGGACTAGAGAGGAAGCAGTCTTAGAAGGGCCGCGATTTTTGATTCTTGAGAATGGACAATCTTTGAAAATCATCAGCACAGAAAAAGCTGACAGTGGGGAATACGTCTGCATGGCCAGCAACTCAGAGGGGAGGTCAGCTGTCACCGCTGTGCTGGATGTGAAAGGTATTTCAGCAACATGATTACTGTTTTCCTCGTGCGGGAGCAGTCACAGTCACAAAGCCGAGGCAAACACAAATGAATCCCTCCATTGCTTGTCCTCCACTGCTTTAATTTATTCAGATCACATATAACCTTTGAGAGAAAGAAGAAAAAATATTCATTGTGTGGTGTAACCAATCAGCTTTTCAGTGCCTTAAGGGAGGAATGTCAGGTTGTCTACATGAAACCTGCACATTTTATACGCGGAAGGTACAAATTGTTGATGTTATAGTTAAAACTAAAGCTTCATTCAGTCATTTTCTAAAAGGTGCTTCTTATAGTCAAATTTGATATTTCAACATTTCCATTTAAATTGAATCCGTAATGTGCTGTCATAGTTAAGAGGCAGCATAAACATGGATGCAGCATAAAATACTAAAAAGGCAGCTACCGATGGACAAATTAACCTGTGATTTAAGTCTTGACTTGAGCTTTACAACTTTCTAAAGGTGTGAAGGAATTAAGATAAATCTCTCTGTGAAGATCAATTATTATCTCTTATTGTGTTTTGTCTCTAGATCCCACAAAAATAGTAGGCCCACCAGAGGATGTGCTGGTTGTCA